AAGGGGAGGCCATCAATGAGATGGATTGACACGGTGGCTGCAATGATGAGCTCAAGTATAGCAGGGATTGTGGGGCTGGCGCGGGATCGGGCAGTATTTTGTTCTGCTGTGTGTGGGGTCGCTATGAGTCAGAAACAACGGCACTTAACAACAACAACAACAACAACAGGACTAGGATAATAGGTTCTCAAATATTCCTAGACACATTCTACCCCTCCCTACTTCTTCCAAAAGCTCCCATTGCCTATTCTATCAAACCTACACATTTCAGTCTAGCAATGAAGTTCCAGCCTATTCTAGGGTTTTAGGGGATTTATCAGGAGGTCTGGTGGCATAGTGCCTAAGGCATTTGACTGCTAACCAGAAGGCTGGCAGTTCAAACCCACCAGCCACTCCTCAGAAGAAAGACTGGGCAATCTACTTCTGTAGAAATACCACCTTGGAAACCCAAGGAGGGGTTGCTATGAGGCAAATTATATCACCTTTATTATTCATGGGCCCCAAAGAGTATCCCATTAAGCTCAAATGTCAATATGATGAAAATGTTGCAAAATCTTAGTTGCTTTGTCTCCCTTCCCTAATTGTTGGCATGCCTGGTCAACTGTCCATGCAGTTCAAAACAAAATGATACTGTTTCTGGTCATGAACAATGAACATTTCTGTGCAGCCCATAGACTGTGGTTCTGCAGGGTTGTCTGCTCCAATCAGTTCGTCTTTTTGGTTCTCCTTGTGGAGATGCAGAAGCCTCTACATGGCTGTGCAGTGTAGCTGATGCAGACCTAAACATCTTACTTCAAAAGCTGCTAACAGGTGGCTTTTCAATTCTAATAATTCAGATGGGAGATGTTATCAGAGGCCCAGGAGACTACTAATGAGCTGGATTTCAGCCCTGTTTTTCCACCTAGATTATAGATCAGAGGTGGAGGGGATCTTAGAAATCATTTCACAGATGAGCAAACTGAGTTAGAGATAAGATAAGTGATTTCCACAGGTTGCAAAAGTCGTTAGGGCTAAACTTGCTTTGGTTTGTCATTAGAACCTCTCTTTCAACCCATACCCAGAGACTGAGGTGTTTCCTTGAACACATTTCCTAATTTGTCAGATCCTGATGTTCCTGGGTAGCACAAGCAAGTAAGTGCTCGGCTGCTAACTGAAAGGTTGGCTGTTAAAGTCGACCCACAGATGCCTTTGAAGAAAGGCCTGGCAATCTACTTCTAGAAAAAACAACCATTAAAAAGTGTATGGACCTCACACATGGAGTTCAGGGCAAACGCAATAGCAACTGATTTGCTTTTTGGCTAACCTCTTATAAAGTAATGTCATGTCTCACATTTTATTATTATCCATTATGGCCCCCAGCAAAGACCTTTACAAAAAAGCTGACCTCAGACTAGCTGGTCTGCTGTTACCAAAAAAACAAACCAAACTCACTGCTGTCAAGTTGGATCTGAATCATAACAACCCCTCCTTGGGTTTCCGAGGTGGTATCTCTATGCAAGTAGATTGCCCAATCTGCCTTCTGAGGAGTGGCTGGTAGGTTTGAACCGCCAGCCTTCTGGTTAGCAGTCAAATGCCTTAGGCATTATGCTACCAGAGCTCCTGGTCTGATGTTAAGAGAAAGCAGTTAACAAATAGCTAGCTGGCTACCTATTTATTTCACTTAACAATCTTGTCTTTTCCTCCTAGCATCTCCAATTGAGCTCAGGTTATATCTCAAACAGTACGATACAGTTAGGAATTCCCCAAGAGTTAGTCCAACAGGTTCATATAACAAGGGCACAGTGGATCCTTTAGTCCCAGTTCCAAACTGACGTCTGCAGGAACACTAGTTGAAGTGTGAGTATGAGTCAGGCTCATTGCAGCCAGCTGCCACCAGATATGTGTTAACCTCAAGGTCAAAGCCACTGGTCCTCTTATCAAAACCAGTTGTCAAGTCCACTCTGACTCATGGCAACTTCATGTGTGTCAGAGTAGAATTACACTCCATAAGGTTTTCAAAGGCTGTGAAATATTGGGGGTCAGCACCTCTGGGTGGACTCGAGCTGCCAACCTTTCAGTTAGCAGATGAGTGCTTAACTGTTTGTACCACCAGGGACACCTAGTCCTCTTAATAATAACAACAACAACAACAACAAACCTCACTGCCATTGAGTTGATTCTGACTCATAGCAACCCCCATTTGGTTTCCAAGGCTGTATGTAAATCTTTATGGAAAAAGACTGCTCCCATCTTCCTTCCATGGAGTGAGTGGTGGGGTTTGAACCACCAGCTTTTTGATTAGCAGCCAAATGTCTTAAATCTACATGACCAGAGCCCCTTGGTCCTTATAATAGCACTTTATATAACCAGAGATAGGGCTTGGCTGAGGTCAGAACAGGCCTTTAATTACTGGGTTCTAATGAGACCCAGAAAGTGTTCTGGTGGCACAGTGGTTAAAGCATTCAGCTGCTAATCAAAAGGTCCCTGGTTCAAAAACACCAGCCATTCCATGGGAGAAAGACAAGGCAGTTTGCTTCTATAAAGATTTATATAGCCTTGGAAACCCTAGAAGACAATTCCATTCTGTCATATAGGGTTGCTATGAGTTGGAATTGACTTGCTAACAGTGGGTTTGGTATTGGTAACGAGACCCAGAGCATCTCTACTCTATGCTCATGACCACCTGGGAGAGGAATCAACTCCCACACCTGGACCTAGGAATGGTGATTACTATCAGATAAAACTCTCACTGCTGGTCTGAGAAATGTGGTCAGTGCTGTGCACCTTCCCCAAGGGAGATGTCAGAGAATGACATGGCTGCATCTTGACATCAAACGGTGTGATGCAAGCACTCCAGGGCCTCAGCACCCTGGACTTGTTACCCTCTGCCATGGCTCATCCCTTCAGTCCTTTGTACACATTGCCTTGAGTTTTACTGTCTCTAGACCTCAATGTGGGAGCCCTGGTGGCATAGTGCCTAAGGCACTTGACTACTAACCAGAAGGCTGGTGGTTCAAACCTACCAGCTACTCCTTGGAAGGAAGGTTGAGTGATCTACTTCTGTAGTGATATTGCCTTGGAAACCCAAGGAGGGGTTGCTGTGAGTTGGATCCAACTTGACGGCAGTGAGTGTGGTTTTTTTTTGTAGAACTTAGTGTAAGCTCTTCTACATTTTCCACTCTCTTCCTCAACTTGACCCTGACTTTGAATTTCCAGGGTCAATCATTGTGGTATCTGTATTACTCCAATAACCCTTGTTGTTGTTGTTGTTGTTATGTGCCATCGAGTTGGACCCGACTCATAGAGCTCCCTCCTTGGGTTGCCGAGGCAGTATCACTAAGGAAGTAGATTGTCCAACCTTCCTTCCGAGGAGTGGCTGGTGGGTTTGAACCACCAGCCTTCTGGTTAGCAGTCAAGTGCCTTAGGCACTATGCTACCAGAGCTCCCCCACTAACCCTTAGCACACACAAATTCCATTTGTGGGTGGCTTTGCTAGGGTGAGAATCATCAGGTGCCAAACATCTCCTCCCAGTATAGATGCTCCCTGCAGTGGAGAGGGAGCTGCCTGGCATTCAGCAGCCCCATCTTCTGTAGCCACTGTGTCAACCTTTACCCTCTACCAAAGAAGGAAACCAGAGTGGTGATCTGCAGACAATGATCAGTCAATACAGGGACTGATGACTACTGGCTGTAGGAAAATGGACCTACTGACCCCATCTTTGGAAGGAAGGTTGGGCAATCTACTTCCATAGGGATACCACCTCGGAAACCCAAGGAGGGGTTGCTATGAGTCAGGTCTGACTTGAAGGCACATAACAACAACAACGACCCCATCTTGGTTACTTACCTCATTCAGCTTGACCCAGTTGAAGGACTTCAGTGGGTGGGAAGGCTGGGGAACATGCTTCTTCCTGAGTGGGGTATCACTGCTAGGGAAGGGGTCTGGAGGGTGGGGTAGGCCCATGCTGAAGCAAGGTGGGGCACCTGGGGGAGTGGGAGGTCCACCAGGTGGAAGGGGTGGTGGTGGCGGTGGGGGGCAGCAGGCAAAGGATAAAGGGGGTGGGGGTGGAGGCAGGTCATTGGTTGTCATCAATGAAGACAAGGCAAGTGGGCCCCCAGGGGGAGGCAGGGAGGATACAGGGCCTGTCTGTGAGGAGACAGAAAAATCAAAAGACAAAGCTATTGGTATTGATGCCATTCAGATCCCTTACCACTGTTCTTTCCCTTACTTTTAATTTCCATCTATACTATACCCCAAATCCTGCTGTCACCTCCCATACACATTTGGTCCCCCCACTTTCTCTCTCTGTATTCCAAATTCCCAACACACACACACAGACACCACACATACACAATCACACACAGACACTGGAGTCAGTCATAGTAATACAGTGCAACAGCAGGGTTGATCCATATGGTAGTGTAGGCTGCTGACTGCATGATGGTTTCCAAATGACAGGGTGAGAGGGAGTGAAAAATCCCACCTGCACTCTGCTTTGCAAAGTATGCTTCCTGGGACAATGTCACCCAGAGGAAGGGGCATTACTTCTTCTAATTAACACAAAGATACAACCTAGACTACTGGGTGATATTGTCAGCCCTTACAGCCTCAGAGGTCCTCTCTTTCCTGACCTGAAGTCTCCCTTGCTCTTCTACCTCAGTCTAGGATCCTTGGCCCCTCCCCACACCTGCTTTGCCCACTCTGCCTGGAAGCCCAGGGTCTCAGCTCCAATATGTGAAAGGGAAAAGGGTGCCCACGTACTGAGATTTCACTGAGTTGGGCTACCAGCTCTGCCACTTGTCCCCGAGCCTGGCGTAGCTCCTGGGACTCTCGGGCCAGCTTGTCCTTCATCTTGTTCAGTGTCCGCATCATCTCTTCCTTCTCCAACGTCTTTGTCTCACATTCTCTCTCTTTCCTCTCTAGCCGGCTCACCAGCTCCGTGTGTTCTGGGATGGAAGATGGATGGGAGAGGAAATGGGAAGAGAGAGTATGAGTATGTGTGTGTATTCACCTTCATGGGAGGATATGGAGTCCTGGGCTGCACAGGAGAGGGGTGGTAGAGTATGCAGCAGGCTTAGGCAGAACCCCTCACCTTTTCGGAACTTCTCAGCTTGGTCTCGCCACTGTTTCACTTCATTCTCATTGATAAGCCTGGAGACAGAGGGGAAGGGGTCAATGTGACTGTTGAGACTGTTGAGGTCTTCTCAGTTTCCTAGAAGACATGTTATCTCCACATTCCCCACACCGGTACCCTGACCTCCAATCTCTCCAGACACACCTGGAGGCTTGGATTTTAACTCCTTACATCTCTCCAAGTCTCCATCCCTGTCTAATACTCATTATGTGTCTCTCTTTAGACTAGAGAGCTGAAAAAAACCCTTAGATGCCCTGATCCAACCCTTTTGTGATAGAGTTGAGGGTCCAACACCAGAGATAGAAACACCAACTAATTAATTGTAGAACTAGTACTAAATCTTAGGCTACCCTTAGCTATATAATGACTTGCAACCCTTTGTAATAATAGGGTTTTGCAGCTGAGAGAGAGAGAGAGAAATATTGACCCTATCGTGGTCTAGATTTCTAGGCCCAGCAAAGATGAATGTGTAAGAGCAACAGAAATCGTCCCATATCCCCATAACATAGGATGGATGTGTTGAGGGTAAAGAAGGGACATATCTGAAACAGTGTGTTAAAATTAAGCTTTCATCTCCACACCAACGTATAAAAGATAAATGAAAACCCAAAGTGAGATCTCAATGATAATTTCATTTGTAAACCTGAAACATGAAGAGTTAGATATTTGACTCTTGGCCTCTCAACTTGATCAAGGATCTAAGGAGAGGACAAGGTATGGAGAGAGAAGAGTACTTTGTGAAGAAAATTATTTGGAGAGACTATTGTCAACTGACTCAATGGCACCTAACAACAACATTGTCAACCCCCACCCCCAGGAGGGGTGGTGGCTATCTCCTTAACCATAGTCTTAGTGACGGAGCTTCTTTGGGCCCACCAAGAGAGTTTTGACCTATATGCCCCAACATCGAGAAAGAGGCATAGTTAACAGGAGTCTGACTTGGGGCCAGGCAAATCCAGAGAGCAAGAAGGATTGAACAGGACAATGTTGCTGTGCTAGGATGTGCCAGCACTCCTAGAGGTTATTAGAAGAAGAGATCACCTGAGGGTTTCCCACAGGCCAGATGTAAGCCTTGTGGAGGAATTGAGCTGAAGCTATTCTAAGTCCTGCCCAAGAGGTCCACCTGGGAGAAAACTGGGACCATCAACATTGTAAATCTGTGTGCATTGGCTCATGAGTGAGCCAGGGGTGATGGAAAGGATGAAAGAAGCCAGGTAGGCAGTGGCCGGGGGTGGGGGGAGCAAGAACAAAACAGCTTGCATGTCCAGTGACCTGGGTTTTGCAGGCAGAGACACTCAGAAGGGAACTTCTGAAGGTCCCAGGAACATAATCTCATGTCTTTATTCAAGCGCCAAAGAGCAGAAAGCCTGCTTACTAAGTCACCTAACCAAGTAAGACTTTCCCTTTCTCCTTCCTGCCCCCATGCTGCCTCTGGGGAAACTGGTTAGTTAGTGGGAGGGGGGGTGGTAGAAGGCATTAGAAAAGGAACTGAGAGCAGAGAAAAGAAGCCACCCCCCACACACACACACACCCCTTCCCACTGTAGCTTCCCAGTCCCAGCCTGGGGAAGAGAGAGATTTAAGGTTAAATTGAGTCTAGCACGATGATTCACATCTGGGATTAGTTCTTCTCAGATTTGAGACTATGTTGACAGCTAAAAGTGATCTTAAGACTTCTATTACCCAAAAAGGACCAAAAATGTCTTTGGGCTTGAGATTTCATCCTTTGGCAGAGGAAAATTTTCCCTAATAAATAGTGTAAGGAATTATAGGAAATAAAAATAAAGCTACATTTTGATTACTTTACTGGTTGCAATTGTTCAACATACCAGTTAGGACTTTAACTAGATCAACACCCAACTGTTTATGCTAATAGAACAAGTAGTGTGGCTAGTTCAGAAATTGTTTTCTAGTTGGCTGTGGAATGCAGAATAATGAAGCATTTAGATCCAGTTTACCTCCTTAAGGGCAGTTGGCTCAGGCTCAGACTGAAAGTTAAGCAAAGGCTTTAAAATTAAAAGTCAATGTGCTCATGTAAGGTCTTATCATAACCAATGAGCTTTTGAATGTGTTTCTCTGTATTTCCCTAAACCCAGAGTCAGAAAAAGACTCCCTTTTCCAGAAGGCCTTAGGTTCTAACATGCCTCATGGTCAGTGGTTGGCAAATATTCTGTAAAGGATCAGAGAGTAAATATTTTAGGTTTTTCAGATCACATATAATCGCTGAGGCATTTCCTTATGTGTTCATTTGTTCTAAACAATACTTTAAGAACATAAAAACTATTCTTAGCTCATGGTCATACGAAAACCAGCTGGAAGATCAGATTTAGCCTACTGCCCATAGTTGGCTAATCCCTGCTGTATGTTAATGCATTTAAATTCCTCCTGTATCCAATCTATGCAGTAAATTATTGAGAGTTAGTTTCATTAGCCACAGGTATGTGGCTATTTAAATTTAAATTGATTAAAATGAAAAATTCAGTTCCTTAGTCAAATAAGTCACATGTCAAATGCTCCATAGCCACATGTGCCTAGTGGTTACCACATCGTATATAGCACAGATAAGAAGTGTATCTATTCAGTGGTCCTATAAGTTTATGTGTATGATCTGAATTCCCAGATGTATAGTAGAGCTGACAAGGGGCAAGGTTGTAGTCACTGCTTGGTCACAGGCAGCTACCCAGAGGGACCAAGTAGTTGAACCTGTGGACTCAGGACCATAGTCTCAAAGAACATCAAGCTCAATTGGCATAACATACTACACAAAACATTGTTCCACCTCCTACTTTGGCAAGTAGTGACTGGGATCTTTACAAGCTTGCAAGCTGCCATCTAGATGTAACGATGGGTCTCTCCTCATCCAGAACAAAGAAGAATGAAGAAAACCAAACATTCATGGAAAGAACTAGTCCTAGCAAATGGTACACCATCCAATCTGCAGCCTGTATGACTATAAGACCAGAAGAACTAGATGGTGCCCAGCTACTACTGTCAACCACTTGGAAGGGGATTTGTGTAGGATATCCTGGATAGAGAGGGAAAACAATGTGGAACAAAACTCAAAATCATTTGGAAAAAAAACAAAGGGGGAGACCAGGTTTGCTGGTCTGATAGAGCCTGGTGGAACCACTGAAACTATGGCCCCTAGCTGCCCTTCAGGTCTGAAATTGAACCCATGCCTGTAGCTTCCAGCCAAACAACAGACAGGCATATGAGCTGAACATTTATCTCAGGTAGATCCACTCCTTGGAGAGAACAATCCAAGAGAAAGAAGGGCTGCTTATGCACAAGGAGACAGCTCAGGAGGCAGGAGTGCATGGAGGGACGGACACAGGGAAGAGGTAACTATCAGGAGGAAGTAGGAAGGGAGCTGTTGCATTGGGGTAAATTGTGGTCAATGTCATGAGACACAGTGTATGTGAACTGCTGTATAGAAAGTGAATTTGCTCTGTAAATTTTTACCCAAATCACAATAAAAAAAATTTTTTTTAAATAAATAAGTAAAAAGAAGCGTGTCTATTATCTCAAAGAGTTCTGTTGGACAGCATGCCTCAAAACACATTTGTGAGTGTCTGGTTTGAGAGAGGAGTCCCTGGGTGGAACAAAAGATTAACATGCTAAGCTGCTAACTGAAAGGTTGGAGGTTTGTGTCCACACTGAGGCACCTCAGAAGAAAGGCCTGGCAATCTACTTCCAAAAAAACAGCCATAGACAATCCAATGGAGCACAGTTCTACTCGGACACACATGGAGTCACCATGAGTGGAATGGACTCTACGGCAATTGGTTTGATTTGAGAGAGAGAGCTGAGGTTTCACTGGTGAGACCCAGTGTAGGAGAGAGATGAGGAAGGAGGAGGAAGACATGGGGAAGGCTGGCCATTGCTCACATGTTGACAATGTTCTTGACGTTGAAGTTCTCCAGTGGAGCCAGGTCAGGGTCCACACCCCTCTCATCCTGGAGGACAATCTGCTGGAGGATGCGGTCCAGGAGCTGCCACTGCTGGAAGTAGCCACCATTCCGCTTGTCTGAGGGATGACAGGCATCATCTATTTACTGAGCCCTGGAACCCACTGGAGGCCTGTTCTAGAGTCACTGCTTGGGTCCAGACTGGCAAGAAGTACCCTTCCCCACCCTTGGCAACCTCCCAGTTAGATGGGTACAGTTGCACCTGATAAAGATTCACAAATCCAGTCATCTCTTGATTATCTGCAACTGATCTTTTATGAATGTGTCAATGTTCCTGACATTTTTCTCTACTCCCAGAAATGTGTCCTGGCTGCCTTTCCTCCCTGTTTGGACTTTAGGCATCCTAGGTCCTGGGAATGCAAATTGCTTTTATCATTATCTCAAAAAAAAAAAAAAAAAGCATCATTTGGAAAATAAATCTGTTCTAAAATATTACATGCTGAATAATGAAGTCTCTGGGAAATAAAAAAAAAGTTAGGATTTTCTATGCTATTTCTCTAAAGAGAAAGATCAATGGAAAATAATTGCAGATGTGCACTGAGAGGGAGTCAGAATGAGTAAGAGAAGTGATTCATGGAATCCAGGAGGTATTCTTGGTGGAGGTGACCTTGAACTATGAAGGCAAAGGCACCATGTGGTCATCAAAGGCATCGCAGGGTCCTAGTCCATCTCTCTCTAATCACAGTCTGCATGGATATGGACTTTCACTTTACATGGCAGCCACAAGTCTCTTCTTTTAGTTCTGTATCCCAATAGCTTTGTCTCTACTGATCAGCAAAGGAGGTCAGCTATAGGGATTCTTACATCAAAGTCAAGCCATAATGGCTTCTTGGTGGAATGTAATGTCTGTAAAGTCCCCATGGAACACCAGGTACAGTTACTGCTAGAGCAGAAGTCATGTTTCCTGGGGCCTTTCCATGTCTCCCATGAAGACTTTCTGGGCTGAGTTTTGGAGAACTGACCTGGTCCACAATACAGTATCTAGCTTCCTTTCTGCCATCCCACCTAATGCAGGCATTGAAAAGTGACATATTTTTCCATTTGCTTCTCACTCAGCAAAATTGGGTAAAGGCAGGATCACTGGTTCACAGAGATAGAACATGTTTCATCTAAAGCTCTGACAGCAATGAAATGAAAGCCCCCTCCATATATAAAAAATGCTTTCAGCTTCCGTTTCATTCACTGTAAAATGGAAATGATAACACATACCCCTTAGGCCATTTTGAGGTTTAGAGATGATGTGCTTTGCATCATGCCCAGCCCAGAGCTGGCACTCAAAAAATGGTGGTTAATGCCACCATCACCATGATCACCAACAGCACTATCATCATCACTAAAGATATTCTTTTGAGGTTGACCATTACAATGGACCAAACTAATTTTCAAAACACTGTATTTCATGAACGGCTTAAATGCCAAATATTGCAGTTAAAGCTCATTTCAAATTGTGTTTTGGGATGGCTATCAGTAGTTACATATAATTTATTCAATCACTGTGCATACCTGGGTCTTAAGAACTTAGCCACCTGGTCCTGTAGTAGCTGACATTTGGTATGGATAAAGGAGATAGGGTGAAAGGACTAAATGGTAAGGACTAGATAAAGAAGCAGATAAAACATTTAAAAAGGCCTGCTCATTCCACATCAGTGCTATTCCCCCAAGAACAAAACTTTTTTTTTTGGAACTCTCCACAAGGACTAATTACTCCCCTGTCATGGGTTGACAGCTAGAGCTGTTTAATACTGAAAATTAGCCTGGGATGTTGGAGTTGCTCAAGTCCAAGTCCCCAACAATTAGTATGCTCCCTAGGTGACAGTAGAAGCTGCTCTATTTTAATGACCCCCCAAGACAGGAGGGAAGCAAAGGGGCTTGAGTCCTATGGCCTGGCCTTCCAGGATGTGTGCAGTGAGGATGTGTTCAGGCTCACCCACCCAGCAGGGCCTGCAGCCTTGTCTCAGCCTGTCCTGAGAGCCAGGGCATGGGAGCCCAGCTAGGAGGCAACAGGTGTGGGGGACTCACAGGGCATTTGCAGACAGTGATGCAGGACAGAGAGCAGGCAGGGGTAGGCCTCAGTGTACTTCAACTTCTTATGAATCAGTTCAAACATCTGGGATGCACTCTTGGTGTCAATGTGGACCTGAGGAGCACAGAGGAGGCAGGAGGCAGTTAACAGGGAGCACTGAAAGGAATGGGGGAAGACACAGAAGACCTTTTTCCCATCCACTAAGCCCTACCTCCCAGGAAAGCTTTCCTTCCCCTGCCTCTGTCTCAGGCTTAAAAACAGAGAGAGAAACTGAGAAAAGAAGGAGGGAGATGTGTTAATTATATAACAAGGATTCTTTTATCTTGGCACTATTGGTATTTGTGACTAGGTAAGTCTTTGTTGTAGGGCTGTCCTACGTATTGTAGAATATTCAGCAATACCTACCCTGGCCTCTGCTCACTAAATACCAGTAGCATCTTCCTCCAAATCTGTGACAGCCAAAAATGCTCCAGACATTGACAAATGGCCCTGAGGGAGGGGGGATTTGGCTGTGTTTGAGAACTATAGATCCAAACTAAGGGAAGGAAGCAAGGGCAGAGATGACTCAAAGTAGCATAGGTGGAAAGGGCACTTGATTTCAGGTCCACAAATGTGGGTTCATATTCCAGATCCTCTGCTCTTTATTTGTGTGACAACAGGTAAGCAGCTTAATCTCTCTGACCTCAGTTTCTTCACCTATAAATCCAGGGTTTTTGTGAGCATATAATGGATGATGCTTTGTGACTATGAAGTGCTAGCCAAAAGTAGGTTTTTATTTGGATAGGAATTTTATAGTACAATCTCTAGGCAGTAGAGCTGTTTGTTTTCATGGTTTTTAAGACTAAAATGAAAATATGGTTTGGTTTGCTAAGCATGATCTGCTTAGTTAGTAGTGGGGAGAGATGACTCAGGAAATTATTAGAAGGCTGGGGGAAAGTCAGCCTAGGAGAGGTATTTGGGACTAAACATGTATAACCACTGGCTCCCTTTCTTTTGGGAGTTATAGTCCCCTTTCTTTGGAGGCAGAGGCACAGAAGCCCACCAGGTGAGGTCCTTCAGGTAAGGTCCCCCAAGTACGATGATGCCCACCAGAGCCAGCACACTGCCAAAGCTCCAGAAACTGGACCTGGCCATGGAGGAGCACTCACGGGAACCCACCAACACTGAGCCCACTACAGCATAGGATCTGGAGAAGTGACTGTCCTCACCAGGAATCATGCCTACCAGGCTCCTCACCATGTCAAACCTCCTGGCTAGCTCCAGGTCATCCTCATTTCGGACCATCTCAAAGAAGTCTAAATGCCTAGATAGGAGAGGGGGAATACAGAGAGTAGACATTATACTCAGGACATCTTTGGTGGAGGATTATAGCCCATTGGTCCCCCTGCCCCCAACTGACTATCTCTGAAGGCTTCATTCAGGTGAAAGGACCCCTCCTTCTCCAATCTGATCTTGCTCTGAGAGGCATCCCACAAAGGCTGGATATGGACTTACAAATGAACACTCACTTATTCTTGGAGGGGGACAATAACCATGGAAATGGGTTAAGAAGGGGCCTAAGGTATTTGACTGCTAACCAGAAGGCTGGTGGTTCAAACCCACCAGCCACTCCTTGGAAGGAAGATTGGGCAATCTACTTCCATAGAGATACCATCTCAGGAACCCAAGGAGGGGTTGCTACGAGTCGAATCAACTTGACGCTGTGAGCTAAGCTGAGTATAGGACCAAAGAGGAAGGAAATCCAATAAGGTGGATAATATACACAGCATTTCTTACACTCTATCCCCTCCAAGGCAAAACTGGAAAGAAACCATCTGCCTGTACGCCAACACTTTTTTCCTTTACAGAACCCCATGCACTCTTTCAGAGAGGCCAATTCAGTGTACTTTCACCTCAGATCAGAGTATCTCAACCTCGGCACTATTGATATTTTGGGCTGAATAATTCTTGGTTGTGGGGCTGTCCTGTCCATTGTAGGATGTTTATCAGCACCCGTAGTCTCCACCCACTAGATGTCAATAGCAGACCTCTCCTTCAGTTGTGACAACTAAAGATGTCTCTAGTCTCTAGTCCCCTGGGGGTTAAAATTATCCCTAGTCAAGAACCACCAACCTCTATTTACCTTCCCCAGTGTTCTCATGCTGTCCCCATATCAGCCCATAAATTTAATCTCTTTCATTCTTAGCCCCCTCTTCTTACCAATTCAACCCCAAATGGATCCATCCTCTGTCCCTGAAGAACTAGTGTAATAAAATTTCCTGTACTAATGGGATAGAACCAGAGGGGGCTCACTGGTAACATATAGGAATTTAATTGTGCCCTTTAATCAATAAGAACCTTTATATATTGCATTTTGGGTGGGCCATTTCTTTGTTGAGCAGGAGTGCAATGCAGGATGTTTAGCTCACCAGCCATTTTGAAAGCCAAAGAACACTCCAGTGTATTTTCAAATGCCCTTTGGGGGAACTACTTCTGTAGCTCAGTACTATTAGGTTCATCTGTCTATAAGATCAGAAATGAGATAAGGAGATCAGCAAAGAGGACAGTCAAGGGTATAAGCAAGAGGTGGGACAAGTGATGGGAGAACTGTCCACCTTCCCATATATACATAGAGCTGATTCTGAATCTATGCTGGGTTATGGTGAGTGGATTCCAGTAGGAAAAGCATCCTTAATGAAGGTCCTGACCATCTCAAACTGAGGCATTTCCCACAGGTTTCCAGTGGGGATGGGTGGCTTGAGCCTTACTTATCCAGGATGGCATTCTCATGTTGTCGAAGTTTGTCAATCACAGGCTGTATCCCCAACATCAGGAACTCATACCGTAGATGTAGACGGAACTCCAGATTATCCTGGGGATCACCAAAGGAAGATAAAACTCATTGGCTGGTTCAGAGATTCCTGCTCAACCATTGGTTGCCCCACCCCAGCCAATGTCCCACCACATTTCCTGCAGCAAACTTCATGGAGCTGCTTCAAGTGCAAGAGCTCCAAGAAAGGGCAAGAGGAGGCATTCTTTGACCTTGTTATTTCTCTAAAGAAGGCCCACTGCCCAAATCCTTTAAGGTCTCCTGCCTCATTTCCTTCAAGTCTCTCATGAGTTTTCTCTTAGCCTTCAGTGTCAAAGAGCAGTGGTGTATAGTAATAGAGCACAACTTTGGAATCAAGCAGATCTTGCTGCTCTGCTACATAATAGCTTTGTGATCTTGGGGAAACTTTACTTTCCTCATTTGTAAAATGGGAACAACAATGCTTACCTATAGGAATGATATACAAAACAATTACCTAGTGAGTTATAGTTACCAACTGATCAGAACAGATGCCAGCCATATATACCTGGTACTGATAAAGCTGATGTTAATATCTTAAGGACAGATTGTTCTTCCAAGCCATTTCACTTAACTCAGTCCATCAGGACACCATAAGCAAATATATATGCCAGCAGAAAAAGAGGGAAATGTAGAGATCTTTAAATTATTCCTTTTGTTCTTCAACAGTTGGCCCTAACTGGGGAGTATGCTTGTCTTTTAATTCGGGGAGTTTCTCTGCTCTTCAAGTTCTTCTTCTAATGTCACTATTTCTGTGATCTGAAGACCCCATTTAGACCCCAACAGAAACCAGAAGCCACACCTCCTGCACTAGAAGAGCAAGGCAAGAAACCAGTCCATAAGTGGGCCAACAGAGTTCTGCAATGCCCTCCTTCCATAAACAACTCCCCACCACTTGAGCCAGCAGCAGTCAACCTCAGTGGTTGTTTATGCTCTTTGTCCATGACACACGTGATGTATGACGTTACCTATGTAGGAAACTCCTCATGAGTACTCCCAGGTTTAGATAAAAACCCAAAAGAATTCTGTGTTGAAGCAAAGCTAGAATCAGTCTTCACCACAACTTTTGAGAGCCATAGATAAGCTAGGCTGCAGAATATATACAGGTTTTGCCCCTCCATAACTGCAACATTCATAACATGCTCGTTTTTCTTAGGCCAAAGTGAAGAAGGCATGAAGTTATAAAGATGATAAGCTGAAGATGGTGACAGCTACACCAATCAGACACCTTGGCCCCTTCCTCTTACTACTTCCCAGAAAGTGCTTACACACTCTATCTGCCCTAGACCCAGGAAGTCAGGGTATATCAAGGGCCAGGAGAAGGTGCCTCACCTCTCCAGCTCCAGCATTGAGGACAGCATTGATAAAGGACATGATGGCCGTTTTCAGGTTCACTTCATCTCGATATCGGCCCAAACTTCGGTCTAACTCATTCAGCAGTGTCTGGAGGGAAAGGCAAGATAGAAAAGGAGAAGACAGCTCAGAATACTACAAGTCCAGCCTCTGAATGTTTGCCCTGCCTTTCTAACTACCTAAGATGCCCCATCAATTCCTATCATGTCTTCCCAGCTTCTCTTGGACCTCCTCTAAAACTCACCTTTTCCAGGAAGAGTTCTTTGCCTCTCTACACTTTAATCTCAGTACTGACTTACTTCCTCTCCATTCAGCTTTTGAGGGCTGAGTTTATATTATTGGGCAATGTTGATGTGCTTCTTTATAATTATGCTTCAGTTGTTTACAACTCATTATGTAGTCTTTACCTAGCCCCTTGATATCATGGACACTGCCTTTTATCCCCTTTGCATCTTCTGCAAAGGGCCAGGGGCCACTTTCAGCATGGAGTAGGTGCTCAAAAATGTTTAATGACAGAAAAAACAAATAGCTTTTGCTAGAGGATAAACCATAGAATTTATAATGACAGTTTACATCCACTGAGGACTTGTTGTACACCAGGCACTGTGCTAAAACACTTTATATTTATTTTCTGATTCACTGGTACTTTTCTAGAGCAGGTCAGGAGGAAGAAAACAGAACATCATAGTCTGAGCTCCCAGGACAGGTCCCAGTCAGCACTGGCTCAGGAATAGGGCTTCATCTTGACCCTAGCAATTGTATTCTACTCAACATTCTTAAGTGAAGTCCTATAATGAGCTAGGTGCTAGGCTCAGAGACATAGAAACCACAAGTTGAAGCACATCAATATTCCAGCCTCACAGAAAGGCCCATAACCTAGTGAAAGAGACAAGTCCATTTTCTCAGCCAACTTTTAAAAAGAGTTCTAACTCTTAAGGCTCCTCATGTCTTTTTATTTAAACACTTTGGGTCCCAGTACTCCTAACTGGCAAGAACCGTTATGCAGCCCACTCTACCTCCTCTTCCCCCCAAGTCTCTGCTACAAAATCCTTAGTCCTCATCCCCAGGACAGGATGTCCCTGACTGCCTTACCCAGTTGATGCCCCTGCCCTTCACTACTAAGTCCTTTACCTGGAAGCGTGTCCGCTCAGCTGCATACACTTGGTAATGCAGCATGGCCTGCAGCACCTTCTTGTGGCCACCAGGCACGAGACACACAGCACCCAGGATCTCCAGAACTGCCACCTTGGTCTTGCTGTTCTCAGTGCGCAGGCTCTGTGCAATGGTGCTGATGGCCTCAGGCTGTGCTAGCACATGTGCCCGGCCCTGAGAGTTGTTCATCAGTGCCTTGATGCAGCCAATGAGGGAGGTGTGGATGCGACTCTCACAGGTGGCATGGTCCATACTCCGGAGGAAATTCAGCAGACAGGTCAAGCCCTCCAGCTCAATAAAACGGGTCACAAACCTACACCAGTAAGAACCATTGGCAAAAAATGATTCCTTGCATGTGCGAACTATATCAAATACATTTTGCAAATAGTTAACCCCATTCACTACCTGTGTACCACCATGCATCCTATAGTAGCTGCTATGCTCATTTATAAAGTTTATCTACAGCACTGAAATACATCCCATTGCCCTCACAAGAGATTAGCATCTCATTTGCATTTTAAATATTTTACATTTGCATATCATTAACTGTCTGTCGCATAGCTATGATGGCATATATATAAAGAAGATGATCATAATAAGTATGGCTGTTAAACCTAAATCCACCTCAAAGAATTCTGAAGACTCATCTCCACTAAGGATAGGAATTAAGAGAATTATAGTCAGATAACAAGGACTTCCAAACAGAAGGCCCAGTAGAGTCACTGAGTCAAGGGACCAAGGCTAGGGAGCTATCTTTCAAGGGATCATTAAGAAAACAGCTAAGAGTTAGAATTTCCAGTAAGATGGAAGACTAGGCAAACAAGTTACCCAAACCCTCTACAGCAAAGACATAAGAAACCAAATGAGACAGATATGGATTATACCTGAGCTTCAAAGGAAAGGATAAAGAAGTGGATCAAACACTGACTAGAAGAAACTGAACAAAAGCAATGAACAAGGAGACAAATAGAGCAGTGAATTGTTAACTGGCCTGACACAGTATGGCGATTTTAGATTTTTCAAGCAGCATTCCAACTGGGGCAAACCAAAAAAACCAAACTCAGTTCTGTCGAGTAGATCCAACTCATAGGAACCCTTCCCTGGGTTTCCAAGGTGATATCACTACAGAAGTAGATTTCCCAACCTTCCTTCCAAGGAGTGGCTGGTGGGTTTGAACCATCAGCCTTCTGGTTAGCTGTCAAATGCCTAGCAACCTGATAATTGGCTCTTCACTCCCAGGACTGCATCAGTGCTCACACTGGTATATGGTGACCAGAAAGCAACTGTGTTCACACTGCACAGCCACACTCACACCTCCTGCAGCCCCATCCACTCCTGCACCTGATCAATGATAGACAGCACCCAATACCAGCCCAACCCCACTCTGAACTGCTCTACACAAACAGTGAACAGAGGACTGTGCACACACTTCCACCTTCTATCACACCTGGAGACAGAAGGTGAGCACCTAAGTACTGTCAAACTAGCAAGCAGAGAAGCATACCTGCCCCACTTGCTTGGATGTATCAAAACAAAATAAAGCAAAAAGGAAAACCTGGGTGAAACACACAACATGCAATCACCAATTAAATATAAATCCAACAACCACAATGTCTCAAAGACAACAAATGACCTCAGTTCACACAAAGAAACAAGACATAGTGGCTCAAACAAATGACCAAAATACAGAGCTATAAAACTTCCTGAGGAAGAAATGGCATTGCAACTATCTGATAAGGAATTCAAAAAACTATATTTAGGTACTTTGAACAGATTGACAGAAAGGTCAAAGAAAACACAGACAAAATCAAAGAAAACAGACAAAGCTCTGGATGAATTCAGGAAAATGGTACAAGAGCAAACTGACTGCATCAGTAAAATAAAACTACAAAACTTAACTAGGGAACCAAAGACATCAGTTTTAAAATGAGGGCAACTACACAGCAAAAAGAGAGAATAAATAGTGTAGTTACAGTACATCCAAGTGGAAAGGAAAGCAAGATGACTTCAAGATAGAAAGGACTGTTTTAAACTGGGAAGAAAATAATAAATTACAAGGTAACTTTAAAGATAATGAATAAACCTTCTCATCAAAATAAAAAAGAGGAAAATCATCAACATCTAGTAAACACTAAAACAATAGCAATGAAGGAAATGATAAGAAAATCCATAAGCAAAATGAACTCAGCTCAGAAAATTATCTGGAACAAAGAAATCAGCAGCACCACAGAAAAACACGCAGCAAAATGACTGCAATAAATTCATACTGATCGATAATTACACTGAATGTAAATGGATTAAATGAGCCAGTCAAGACACAGAAAGTAGCAGAATGAATGAGAAAACATGACCCATAAATACGCTATCTACAAGATACATACCTCATACATAATGACCTAAAAAAATCAAAGGCTGGAAAAAATATATCAAGGAAATGGCAATCAAAAAAGAACAAGAGTGGCAATATTAATTTCTGATAAAACTGACTTTAAGACAAAACCACCATAAGACAAGGAAGGGCATTATTATATAACGATTAAAGGGTCAATTGAACAAGAGAATATAATCATAATAAATATCTACACACCCAGTGAAAGAGGCTCAGAATATATAAATCAAACTTTAACAGAATTGAAAAGAGAAATAGTCAACTCCACAATAATAGTAGGAGTACACCATTTTCAATGAAGGACAAAACAATTAGGAAGAAACTCAACACAGACACAGAAAAACTAAAAACACAATTAACCAACTTAACTTCATAGACGTAAACAGAACATTCCACCCAACAACAGCAAAATATTTATTCTTTTCTAGCACACATGGAATATTTTTCAGAATATATCATATGTTAGGCCACAAAGCAAGCGTCAATGAATTTAAAAACATTATAATACTACAAAGCAACTTCTTAAACCATAACACTATAAAATTAGAAATCAACAACAGGAAGATCAATTAAAAAAATCAAATACATGGAAACTGAATAACACCCTGTTTAAAAACTACTGAGTAACAGAGGGAATAATTAAA